TTTTCAATGCAGCATAGTATTCCATTGTGCGAATAGACCACAGCTTCTCTACCCATTCGTTTGTTGATGGGCACTTAGGTTGTTTCCAACTCCTTGCTATTGTAAACAAAGAGGCTATAAATCTTTATGGAAGAAGAGTACCTTGTCTCTCTCTTGAGAAATGACTGGTAAACTTGAATCATCAAACTTTTGGTTCACAGTCCAACATGTGATACATGATGCCGCCAGAGCTACTTTATAAAGACTACAGTCAACATATCAAAGGACAGAGTCATATTTCATGCCCTAGTGAATGCACTAGAGCTTCTTACATAATAATGTGCAATATTAACTCTCGTTTTCATTACTTACACTATTACTTTAAGCAGAAGAGCTCTCCATTCATCCCTAAGCATCAACCCCACAGGCACTAAGTACTTGGGGTTTCCCTAATTCAGTGGACCTTTCTACAGCATAAGGGAATTAGGGGTTCCAACCTCTCACTCAGTTGAAAATTTTGATATAATTTACAGGTGACTCTAGAACAACTAGGGCTTGGCCTGAGTACGTACTGGAGAAATAAACTGCTCACATGGAAATGATATTGTCACACAGGGCAACACCTGCATCTGCTCTAATAGTAAGGGGGTGGGGGGTGTGCAGAGAATCTGAGCATAGAAAGACCTGTGAAATCGCAGTTTAAACCAGTGTTGTTCAGAGGTCAAATGTCATCATTTTACATATAACGAATGCCTAAAAATATTTTTAACTTTCAATATGCATTCCATCTCTCCCAAACGTTGTGTGCTGTCACATACAGTCTAATTCATGTTGACACTCAGAACTGCCCTGCTATGAACTGAAATTATGCCCCCCCATAATATATGCTCTAAATCCTAACTTCTAAGCCTGTATTATACTACCATTTTTGAATGGGCTGTCTGTGTTAATGATGTAGGATTAATAGAGGATGAATCTTGAGTCAATCTCTTTTGACACATTTTAAAAAACCCTACAATAAGCAAACAGCAGAGATTGGGAAGAGAGATGTCAAGCCATATGAAGACTGCTCAATGACACAAGGCCCTTCCTCTAGAGCAGATAAAGAAAGCAAGCTTTCCCCAAGAGTCTCGCCTCTGAATTCAGTCTTCTAGCCTCCTAAAGTGTGATAAAAGAAATTGGTTTGTCACAGCTATTCATTTGTAATATTACCGTTACAGCAGCACTAAATGACTAAGACAGAATTTGGTCCTGGGTAAGTGAGGGTTTGCTCTAAGAGATACTTACAAATAACTTTGGAATTGGTAGTGGGTGAAGAGTTTTAAAGTGTCTGTAGTAAAATCCTAGATTGCCTTGGAAAGACTGTTGGTAGAATTATGGATGTCAGAGGCTATTCTGGTGAGTGCTCAGTAGGAAGTGAGGAGAGGCACAGAGGAAGCCTCCATCACCATAGAAACTATTTATGGCATCAGGTTACTAGAAATATGGTTTGAAATATGCTTCTGGCGAGACTTTAAAAGAAAATTAGTGACATGTGACTGAACAATGGAGGAACGGCAATGTTTTGATACAGAGGCAAAGAACTTATCTAAATTATATTCAGATATTTTGTAGAACTTGTAAGTTACAAACCTGGATAACCAATTGAGGAGATATCTAAGCATGATCCTAAAGGGACCATGAGATTTCTCCTTGCTGCTTATAGCTAAATGTGAGTAGAAAGAGATTGACTTTAAAATGAACTACGCAGCAAGCAACAAATGCCAGCAAGGTTGTGGAGAAACTGGAACCCTTATTGACTGTTGGTGGGAGTGTAAAATGGTGCAACCACTGTGGAAAACATTGTGGCGCTTTCTCAAAAAGTTGCAAATAGAGATACCATTTGACCCAGCAATTCCACTACTGGGAATATGCCCTAAAGAGACCATAACT